ATATGGTTGTCTGATTCAAAATGGCCAAAACTAGTCCATTTCAGCTCACTAATGCCTATGATGGGAGCTCTGGTAGCGTAGTGCTTAAGGCACTTGACTGCTAACCAGAAGGCTGGTGGTTCAAACCCACCAGCCACTCCTCGGAAGGAAGATGGGGCAATCTACTTCTGTAGTGATACTGCCTCGGAAACCCAAGGAGGGGTCACTATGAGTCGGGTCCGACTCAACGGTACATAACAACCTAACAATAATGCCTACGATATCAATCCTTATGTGTTTCATTTCATTTTTGACAACTTCCAATTTTCCTAGATTCATACTTTGTACATTCCATGTTCTGATTATTAATGCATGTTTGCAGGTATTTCTTCTCATTTTGAGTTGTGCCACATCAGCCACTGGAGGTCCTGAAAAGTTACTCTATCCACATCATTAAGGTCAACTCTACTCTGAAGAGGCAGCTCTTCCCCAGTCGTATCTTGAGTGTCATCTGACTGAGGGGCTCATCCTCTGGAACTATATCAGACAATGCTTCAGAGCTGTTCATAAAGTTTTCCAGTAATATATCAGACAGTGTTTCACTGCTATTCATAACATTTTCATTGGCCAATTTTTTGAGAAGTGGATGGCCTCTTACTTCTTCTGAGTCTGTCTTATTCTGGGAGCTCTCCTGAAACCTTTCCACCTTGGGTAACCCTGCTGGCATTTGAAACACTGGTGGCATAGTTTTCAACCTCACAGCAACACACTAGCCACCACATTATGACAAACTGACAGACAAGTTCATTTCTCTTAGTTGTTCCAAACTGCTCGGCTCACTTCCTTGTCTCCCTTAGGTGTTCTAAACCCCACTGGTTCAGATCCTGATCTCCTTGAGCTGTTCCAGATCCCAGTGGCTCACCTCCTGGTCTCCCATAGCTGTTCCAAACCACTACTGGCTCGCTTCCTGGTCTCCCTTTGGAAATTAAATTTACTAGTTGAATGGGTGCTGGATGACTATAGTGCAAGATAAAGGCATTGGGTAATCTTAAAGTTTGCATAAAAAGGCACTAGTCACCTGATGCTAGTGTCTGCCAGACTAAGATTAGACCTATCAAGGAAATCATTATAATAATCATAAATATTAATATCATTATTATACCTAACTTGTTTCTAGTACTCAATGCTTTCAAAATCTGCTCCATCCTCCTTTCATTCTACTCTCCCCCTTAGGTGGCACTCAGGGGCATGTGCAAGTTCTGTTTATTATGATGCAGGCATTTTCTTTGCTTGGTGATGAATGTTTCTCTTGACCTCATTTCTAATTGACCTACTAAGCCTGAGAAGACTTTGAAAATTTTCTTTAAGAGTTTTCCTTATTTAGTAAATCAGAAATGTGATTGAATCATGCTAACTTGAACCTCAGTGTTTCATCAAAAAAAATTGCTTAAGTTTGCCAGATACTCTGCATCAAAGAATGAACCTGTCATTGTCACTGTATAAACTCTGTAGTAGAAGCAAACTTGTCCATGAACATTTACCCTTCATTTAAACCCCATTTCTATTAATCACTGCAGATTTTTTTTAATAGAAGTAATTTCAAGTGATCATTATTAATGACTCTTCAGTTATTTTTCATGTGATAATGGTAGATTTTACAGTGAATCCTTCATATTTACCTGTCTTCCCTTTGAACATAGTGGGTGGGTGATCTGGCAGAGATTAAAGTATAATCCTGGCTAGATTGAGGTTAACTAAAGAGGAAGAGAATGCCAATAGACATCCCCACCATAGGGTAAAACAGTATAGAGCTTGCTATGGGGTTTTAAGTAATATAGTTATATTTATTTAGGTATACATTTTCACTTTAATTATGGAGTACAATAATAAGCAAGCAGTTTGTCTCAGAAATTAATAAATATTCTTACATGGGACAGAATTTATTTTCTTCAATTTATGCCTTTTAACTGAAACAAGTATATTGAGGATGGCAGTGGGTTTTGGTTTTGTAGTAGTTTTAATTTCTAGGCTAATATTTTGACTTTCTATATTTTTCAAATTACTTTAGTATATGTAACTAGAATGTATGACTTTACTATGTTTTCCTACAAGATCCTGATGTTGCTAACTCATTTCTTCTTAGTTGTTGTTGCTGTTAGGTGCTGTTGAGTTGACTCTGACACAGAACAAAAGACTGCCCAGTCCTGCACCCTCTTCACAACCTTGCTACACTTGAGCTTATTGTTGCAGCCACTGTGTCTTGTTGTAGGTCTTCCCCTTTTTCACTGACCCTCTACTTTACCAAGCATATTATCCTTCTCCAAGGAATGGTCCTTTCTGGCTACATGACCAAAGTAGGTGAGACAAAATCTAGCTATTCTCGTTTCCAAGGAGCCTGCTGGCTGCACTTCCTCTAGGACAGATTTGTTCATTCTTCTGGCAGTCCATGGTATGTTCAGTATTCTTCACTAACACTATAATTCAAAGGCATCATCTCTTCTTCAGTCTTCCTTATTCATTTTCCAGCTTTCATATGCATATGAGGTGATTGAAAATGCCATGGTTTGGGTTAGCACCTTAATCTTCAAAGTGGTATCTTTGCTTCTTAATACTTTAAAGAGTCCTTTGCAGAAGATCTGTGTAGTACAATATGACTGATTTCTTGACTGCTGCTTCCACGAGTGTTGATTGTGGATCCAAATAAAATGAAATCCCTGACAACTTCAATCTTTTCTCCTTTTACTGTGATGTTGCTTACTGGTCCAGTTGTGAGGATTTTTGTTTTCTTTATGTTGCGGTGTAATCCATACTGAAGACTGTAGTCTTTAATCTTCATCAGTAAGTGCTTCAAGTCATCTTCATTTTCAGCATGCAAGGTTATGTCATCTACATATTTGCTTCCTGGTAGCAAAAAATAAATCAAATCTCTAAATTATTAAAAGACTAACATTTAGTTTTGTTCCCCACAGGTCAGATTTTTGGTTGTATACAAATACTCATTTCTGGGATTATTATAAAAGTGTGAGCAATTTAGCTGTTAGGCCAAAACAAAACAAAAGAACACAAAGGTGATGTTTAGATGGTTAAATGGAAATAAGCATGGACACTTAAGGGTATGTAGTCTGGGTTTTCAGATTGACTCACAATTGATGATTCTTTTTCTAGCTCTGAACTTCATAATGACAGAGATTTCAGAACTGTTTATTAGATTCAGAAAAAAAAAAGCACAAACAGAAATGATTAAAAATTAGAGAGTGTGTAACCTCTAATGGAAGAACTTAAGACTGCCTAACCATTTGAATGATTATTCAGAATTATTATGGGGCAAACCAGTAAATAGAACTCCCACTCCAAAATGTTGCATTGTAGTAATACCACATCCATGCCAGATCATAATCCTTTTTATCATTTTAGATCCTAAAATACCTTTATACAAGTGATGGTGTCTTGGGTTTTTAAAATACAAGCTTTGTGTATCAATAAAACCAAAGACCAGAGTGACTTTGGGTAGGTCTCTTACCTTCTCTGGACTGCATCTTCCACATCTGTGTACTAAAGGAGTGGCTTGGGAGATAATCAAGGTTCCTTTCAGCCTCAAGTTATCTTGGTCTGTCTCTTATAAATTAAAAAAAAATGACATTCATGTCCATAATAACACAGTCCATGTGCAAGTTATGGAGTGAGAAACATTTCTTTTTGGTATTCTCCATCATTTATGAAACTCTCTCCTCTTAGTTGTGGCCCCTTCTCTCACTTGGCACTGACTTGGTGCCTTCATGCTCTTTATAAGAGAGGCTTTGACAAACTTATTAAAACTAAACTTTTAAAATAACAGATAAAACTTCATGTGCTACTTCTTCCAAGTATTTTCACATTTTAAGTTAACAAACTGTATTTGTGGAATTTTAGCCATCAACAAGTTGAGAAGAGGAGAGTTTGGGGATCTGACTTGCAGTGTTTATTATATACTATTATTATAATGTATTAGGTAGTCACATTTTTATTTATTTTCCATAAAATAAAGCTCTTTGTTCTTTTCCTGTCCACCTTTGCTTAAGGGCAAAATGTTTTTTCAGGAATGGAGTTCTCAAAGAAAGATTTTTTTCTTTTGTATATGGCAGTATTTATTTCTCATCTTTATATATATTTAATTGTGGTAAGTATATATATGTATAGTAAAACATTTGACATTTAAACATTTTTACATGTACAATTCAGTGACACTAATTATATTCTGTGGTAGTTTAGTTTGTATGCCAACTTGGCTGGGCCTGGTTGAGTGGCTGGGCAGCTGGTGGTAGTTATTCCCCATGATGAGAGTGCCAATCAACTCCATGGTGGGATCTACCAGAAGCAGCTGAGTAGGTGCCTTTGGGACGTCTGTTTCCTGTATATAAGGAGAAGCCTTGGGGATAGTCTCTAGCTTATGGCACCTTGAATCCTGCATGTAGCCATGTGGTTGTTTCAGCAACCTGTCATGTTCTACCAACCTTGGGACTTACAATGGACTTGAATTAATGGCCTGCCGTGTGATTTGGTAATATTGGGACTGTGCCTTTTTACTTGTCAACCTTGGGCTTGGCAGCCTCAGCAGCCAGCAGCTGTCTAAGTAAAGAAAAGCCCTAGCTTCAGTGGGCTGGGAGCTGGAGGCAGAGCTGAAGCCCAAGGCTGAGGGGCTTTCACCTAGCCCCTAGAGCCTGGCACTTTGAACTTGAACTTAAAGCCTCCAAACTGTAAGAGAATAAACTCCTGTTTGTTGAGGCCATCCCATTTGTGGTATATTTCTGTCAGGGCAGCACTAAGTATCCAGAACACATTCATTATAAAATATTGTCTTGTTTTATTTTCCCTCACCCAATTTTGCAGCAATAAAATATTTAAAGATTGTTATGACATTCTTTAGGTGTTGCCGTAAGTACTCATGTCTTCCAATATATTTTATTTTAGTTTAAATTATATCATTGTCAGGTGTGGTATGTTTATATATATGATGACATATTAAAATGAGTTTTTTGTTTAAGGATTTTGGGCTCGTGAAGTTGGCAAAATGATTGGACTAGAACATCCTCTCATTCCGGTTCAACATCAGTATGTTGTCACATCAACTATACCTGAAGTGAAAGCTTTGAAAAGAGAACTCCCTGTGCTCCGTGACCTGGAAGGATCTTATTACCTCCGCCAGGAAAGGGATGGACTTTTGTTTGGTCCATATGAACGTCAGGAGAAAATGAAACTTCAAGACTCCTGGATCAGCAGTGGAGTCCCTCCAGGTGGGTTTAGCAAATTAAAAGGTATAAAGGTCTAGAATAAAATGACACTATACTTCCAGAGATGCAAGCTAGATTCAGAAGAGGATTTGGAGTGAGGGATGTCATTGCTGATGTCAGATGAGTCTTAACTAAAAGCAATTAAAAGCAAAGAATACCAGAAAGATGTTTACCTGTGTTTTATTGACTATGCAAAGCCATTTAACTGTGTGGATCATAACAAATTAATGGATAATATTTTTGAAGAATGGGAATTCCAGAACACTTAATTGTGCTGATAGACCAAGAGTCTGTCATTCGAACAGAATAGGGGAATACTACATGGTTTAAAATCAGGAAGGGTGTGCATCAGGGTTGTATAGTTATTCAATCTGTATGCTGAGCAAATAATCTGAAAAACTGGACTATACAAGACAAACTCGGTATCAGGATGAAAGGAAAACTTATTAACAATCTGAGATATGCAGATGACAGAACCTTGCTTGCTGAAAGTGAAGATGACTTGAAGCACTTACTGATAAAAATCTTCAATATGGATCATATATTGGTTTTCAATATGGATCAGACCTCAACATAAAGAAAACAAAAATCCTCACAACTGGACCAATAAGCAGCATCATGATAAATGGAGAGAGAACTGATTGAAGTTGTCAAAGATTTCATTTTACTTGAATCCACAGTCAACACTCATAGAAGCAACAGTGAAGTAAGCAGACATCATATTGTCTTAGGCAAATCTACTGCAAAAGACCTCTTTAAAGTGTTGAAGAGTAAATATATCACTTTGAAGTCTAAGGTGCACCTAACCCAAGCCGTGGTGTTTTCAGTCACCTCACATGTGTGTGCAATCTGAACAGTGAATGAGGAAGACTTAAGAAGAATTAACGCCTTTGAAATGTGGTGTTGGTAAAGAATACTGAAAATATCATGGACTGCCAGAAGAACAAGGAGCTCTGGTGGCATAGTGGGTAAGGACATTGGCTGCTAACCAGAAGATCAGTGGTTCAAACCCACCAGCTGCTCCGTGGAGGAAGTTGAGGCAATCTACTTCTGTAAAGATTGACAATCTTGGAAATGCAATAAGGGTCACTATGAGTCAGAATTGACTCAATGGCAGTGGGTTTTGGGGACCCAGAATAATGAACAAATTTGTCTTGGAGGAAGTGTTCCAGAATGCTCCTTAGAAGTGAGAATGGCCAGACCTCATCTCACCCACTTCAGTCATGTTGTCAGAAGCGGCCATTCCCCGGAGATGGATATCATGCTCAATGAGATGGGTTGACACAGTGGCTGCAACGATGGCCTCAAGCAGAGCAAGTATTGTGAGGATGGTGCCAGACCAGGCAGGGTTTCGTTCTGTTGTGCATATGAGTCACTGTGAGTCAGAGCTGACTTGATAGCAACCAGCAAGAACAACAATGCTAGCTTACCAGACACCTGGAGTGGTGGAGGTGGGTAATTTGAGGTGAGCTCTGTCCTCATATCGCTCAAACAATCACAGCAGAGAGTGAGGCCTCGATGAGGGAAGAGAGAAGATGTAATTGGTGATGGTAGAGAAGCTGAAGAACACATTCTAGCTGCTTTCAAAAGCTCTAAGTCTATTTTTATCTGCCCATACCAACCTCCTGCCTAACTTCTTTTTCTTCATTCTATCACTTGGTCTATTCCCAAGATTTAGATATAGCTGCTGTTGTGCTTTGGCACCTGGAAACATGAAAGGTATCTGACATGATAGCAAAAAGATGGAAACAACCTAAGTGCCTCCCATCAGCAGGTGATTATTGTTGTTGTTGTTATGTGCCATCAAGTTGGACCCAACTCATAGTGACCCCTCCTTGGGTTTCCAAGGGGGTATCACTACAGAGGTAGATTGCCCAACCTTCCTTCCATGGAGTGGCAGATGATTAGATAAGCCAGTTATGGTATGTACACGGAATGGAATGCAACTGTAAAGAATAATGATGAATTCCTAGAACAACATGAATAGATCTGGAGACATTATGCTGAGTGAAATAAGTCAATCACAAAAGGACAAATATTGTATGATCTTACTTTTATAAAAAGACCAGAATAGGTATACATAGATACAGCAATGTTCCTTGGTGGTTACCAGGGATGGGAGGGGGAACCACCATCTAGATAGTAGACATTTGTTATTTTGGTGATGGGAAAGGCGAACCAGATGTGGGTGAAGTCTGTGCAACTAGACCAAGGTAAATGACATGAAGAAATACACAAGAATAAAGAACATTTTTGGTAAATGCTATAACATGTATAATTTTGCAACAACAGCAATAACAATGAAAAAATATGTATGTGGATATATCAGAATAAACCCATTGCTGTTGAGTCAATTCTGACTGATAGTGATCCTATAGGACAGAGTAGAATGGCCCCATAGGGTTTCTGAAGCTGTAATCTTTACAAAAGCAGATTGCCACACCTTTCTCCTGCAAGGTAGCTAGTGGGTTTAAACTGCCAACCTTTTGGTTAGTAGCTGAGCACTTAAAAGGACTTAAAAAAAGCACTTAAAAGGAGCCAGAGGGCTCCTTTTATGTGTATGGTTATATGTTGTTGTTTTTAGGTGCTGTTGAATCAGTCCAATGCATAGCGACCCTGTGTCCAACAGAATGAAATACCGCCTGGTCTTGCATCAGCCTCACAATCCTTACTATACCTGAACTTACAGTTGCAGCCACTGTATCAATCCATCTCATTGAAGGCTGTGCACTTTTTTGCTGATCCTTCACTTTACTAAGCATGATATTCTTCCCCAGGGGATGGTCCCTTCTGACAACATGACCAAAGTGGGTGAGATGAAGTCTGGCCATTCTCACTTCTGAGGAGTATTCTGGCTGTACTTCTAGGACAGATTTGTTCATTCTTCTGGCAGTCCATGGTACTTTCAGTATTCTTTGCCAACACTGCAACTAAAAAGTATCAACACTTCTTTGGTCATCCTGATTCATTGTTCAGCTTTCACATGCATATGAGGCAATTGAAAACACCATGGCTTGGGTTAGGTGCACGTTAATCTTCAAAGTGATATATTCACTCTTCAACACTTTAAAGAGGTCTTTTGCAGAAGATGTGCCTGATGCAATACGTCATCTAATTTCTTGACTGCTGCTTCCATGGGTGTTGATTGTGGGACCAAGTTATATGAGATCTTTGACAACTTCAATCTTCTCCACATATCATGATGCTGCTTATTGGTCCAGTTGTGAGAATATTTGTTTTCTTTATGTTGAGGTATAATCCATACTGCAGAATGTAGTCTTTAATCTTCATCAGTAAGTGCTACAAATCATCTTCACTTTCAGCAAGCAAGATTATGGTTACATGTTGTTGTTATGTGCTGTCAAGTCGGACCTGACTCATAACAGCCCCTCCTTGGGTTTCCAAGGCAGTATCACTACGGAAGTAGATTGCCCAATCTTCCTTCCAAGGAGTGGCTGGTGGGTTTGAACCGCCAGCCTTCTGGCTAGTAGTCAAGTGCCTTAGGCACTATGCCACCAGAGCTCCTAGGTATATATATATATGTGTGTGTGTGTGTATAGAAAGGCACATGTGAGTATATGTGTGTACATGTATAGGTGTATCTATAGGCCTATCTATCTATCTATCTATACATGTTTGTGTGTGCTACATATATATTCATATATTTAGTAAAGCACACAGGGGTCAGAGTCATGAATACTTCCTAGACATAACTAAACACCTTGCAGGATTGGTTTACTGGATTTGTTGTGGAACAACTTGGTCAGTTGTCATAACATAGTTCATAAAGTTTATGTTCTACATCTTAATTTGATGAGTAGTGTCTGGGGTCTTAACACCTTGTGAGCAACCATCTAAGATATAACTATTGGTCTCTATTCATCTGGAGCAAAAAAGAAAGAAGAAACCAAAGACTCAAAGAAGAAAGTACTCTACAGGACTGAAAGCCCACATGAACCATGGCCTCATCTAATCTGAGACCAGAAGAACTAGATGGTGTTGGGCTACTACTACTGACTATTCTGATCAGGGACAAAATCGATGGTCCTGGATAGAACTGGAGAAAAATGTGGAACAAAATTCAAATTCTTAAAAAAGGCCAGATTTACTGGACCAGTCGAGACTAAAGGAATCCCCGACTTTTGCCCTGAGATATCCTTTAATCTTGGTACTGAAATCACTCCTGGAAGTCACCTTGTTAAATAACAAATTGGTTCATAAAATAAACAGTATTGCCAATAAGTACTGAGCTCATTTGAAAAATCATCTATATGAGTCCAAACTGTCAACATTTACCCTAAAGCCAAGATGAGAAGGTAAGGGAGTGGGGCAGGCAAACTAAAGTAATGGAAATGGAACAACCAGATTGGAAATAGTGAGAATGTTGACACATTGTGAAAAATGTAACCAATGTCACTGAACAATGTGTACAGAAACTGGTAAATGGGAACCTGATTTGCTGTGTAAGCTTTCACCAAAAACACAATAAAATATTATTATTATTATTATTATTATTTTAAAGCATCTGAGGCAGGATATCCATCCTATTAAGAATGGAAGCCCAGAAGTCTATAACAGAGCAGGGTGTGTTGGTACTGCAAACTGAGGCCCTCCTATACTATGGAAATGATGTGGAAAAGGCTCTAGCCTTTTTCCTAAAGCAGAAGGTACACAGTTTCCCTTTCACATTCTGTTAGGGAGATGTGTCATTTGTTTTTGCTTTTCATGGAAACAAAACTCCTGCAGAGCTGGCTTAAAGATTAGACCACCTGCAATGTAGTAAATCACTTAGTATGGCTTTTCTACCCATAAGTCATTGTAAACTCAGTGGTGGAATGAGCAACTGAGGAGCTCCTGATTGTAAATGTTATCCACGTGGGTTATTTCTGTTGGGCGTGGCACAACACAATGTTCTGGGAGGTTCCCACTCTCTCTCAGGTGCTTAGAGTTCTGATGCTGTGATTGGCTAGTTTGACCACCCTGCCAGGCTCAAAAGGAGGCCTCCTAGAGGCAGAACTCTCTCTTTGACTGCTGGTTGAGGAAGACGTGCTGCTGAAAGAGACATGTGCTGCTGGGAAAGAGATGCAAGAGACATGTGTTGCTGAGTAAGACACCAAGGGACATGCACTGCGGGGAGAGAGACTGTGAGAGACTTGCCTGAGAGACAGTAGGCTGGGAGAGAGACTGAGCATTTTTTCCTGAACTTGAATTGTAGCCTGGTGCTTCCCTAATAAACCCTGTAATCTGTGAGTTCTGTGTGGCCACTGCAGCGAATTATCGAACCCAGGAGAGATGTGGTGGGTGCTTTGGGAGGAACGGTTGGAGAAAGGGCTGGAGGGAGGCAGCATGTCTGGCCTGGCAGGAATAGGCCTTGGGTTATTTATCATGACTCTGTCTTCCTCTTGTGGGATTAGAGGAGGTCAGAACATGTGGCCTCCTTGTCCTTTTTGCACCACCTGTGGAAATACCTCAGGGGTTGATCTATAAAGGGAGCATTGGAACACTGAAACATTACAAGGAATATAAAGAAATGGAGAAAACTGTGATTTCTGAAATTATTATTTTATAGTCTTCTTGAGATAGAGGATGAGTGCCCTCTTACTCCTCATGAAACAGCTATGCCCATGTAACAGCAAACATTAACTACACTGCCTTCCATAGAACACATTTGCTCCTGAGCAGAATAGCTCCTAATCACAGAGTTCCTGCTATCTGAGTGTCTCCTTCTCTGGACTTCCTCCATGTTTTATCTCCCTCTCCTCTAAATAAAGGCCAAACAAATATTTAAACAATATCAGCTGGGAAGAGAGCAAGATTGTTCGCTGGCCCTAGGTGTTCTCATTTACCAGTTTGGCCCTTCTAGTCTGCATGCCTCCACTGCAACTGACCCCACATGCAGTCCACAGCAGGAGCAAGAAGCTGACTAGCTTCTGTGGGAAATCAGAAGTGTAGGTAGAGATATTCTTTGCAAACTCATCTGTGGCTTGTCTCCAACCACAGTGCCTTTTAAGACTGAGGAGATGGTTGGACTCCAAGATCTTGCCTCTTCATAGAACTTTAGCCCTTGGATATATGTGAAAGCAGACTGAAGGAATTAGATTGCCATGCTGTTCCTTCCCTGTTGAAGGGGGATAAGAAGGGGTCTAGAATCCATCATCTTAAATCCTAAAACAGTTTTCCACTTTTCCCCAGTGTCCTGGCATGGCTTTGTAAACTCCCATATGCTCTCACTTGAAGGATAAGTATCTCTCTTATAAACTAAATGTTGGTTTTAAAAGAATTGTGATTGGATTAAATATGAGACACTTAAAATGCAAATGCAACTGCTGCCCTCCAGTCAGATCTGACTCATAGGGACCCTTCCATGGGTTTCTGAGGAAATATCACTGAGGAAGTAGATTGCCCAACCTTCCCTTCGAGGAGTGACTGGTGAGTTTGAACTGCCAGCCTTCTGGTGAGCAGTCAAATGCCTTAGGCACTATGCCACCAGAGCTCCTATGAGAAACTTAATAAATAGAAATCAGGCTTTATCTTAATTAAGGAGCTCTGGTGGCGTAGTGCCTAAGGCATTTGACTGCTAACCAGAAGGCTGGCAGTTCAAGCCCACCAGCCACTCCTTAGAAGGAAGATTGGGCAATCTACTTCTGTAATGATACCACCTTGGAAACCCAAGGAGGGGTCGCTATAAGTCGGATCCAACTCCATGGCAGTGCGTCTTGTTTTTATCTTAATTAAAAAGGAGCTCAGCTGCTTACTGAAAGGTTAGAGATTCAAGTCCACCCAGACACACCTTGGAAGAAAGGCCTAGCAATCTGCTTTTGAAAAATCAGCCATTGGAAACCTTATGGAGCATAGTTCCACTCTAACACAGAGGATGACCATGAGTTGGAGTCAAGTTGATAGTAACTTTAAAAAAAAAAAAAAAAAAAAAAAAGTTAAAAAAAGGTTAACTTCCATGGTTTTATTTTTAAATACAATGAAATTATTGTTCTCGGTAATATAATGTGTACTCATCTGGAGATAGTGAATTTCAAGTACATTTTATAAAAAATGGAAAGTACCTTAACAGGCCATTTTTAATTACAATCTGTTTCAGAGATCCAAATCACTTTAGAGCATCTGTCAGTGCAGCTGTGCAACACTGATGACAATGGCATGTCTTTTCAGGTTTTGGAAAGGAACTCTTTGAGTCTGATCTTGACCGAATCATGGAACATGTTGAAGCTGCCATGGAAATGGTGCCGGTCTTGAAAAAAGCTGATATCATCAATATTGTCAATGGTCCTATCACCTACTCTCCTGACATCCTTCCTATGGTAGGGCCCCATCAGGGGGTCAGAAACTACTGGGTGGCTATAGGCTTTGGGTGAGTATTTTGTGTAATCAACATTTATTATAGAGTCATGGATTTTTCATAAGTCTTAGTCCATAATCTCAGGCCAAAAGGGAAAACATGAGAGTCAGAGAGAAAGATTTCTCCCTTTTATGACCATGGAAATGTGCATTAAAAATGTCAGTAAACTTAACCATATAATGGTGTAATTACTTCTATAGGTTTTAAGGATTAGCACATAGATGGGAAGTGATTTCCTATAAATTTCTCTTTGCCTAATTCCTGCCATTTCCAGTATTCATATCTTTTCTCACGCAGTGTAGATCAATTTGCCTCAATTTCACAAGGGTGTTTTCATAACACAGTGTGACAAAGATAATTAAAAATACCTAAGATGTAATATATCTGATGCATTTTTCATCATAATTCATGTTTGTCCAACATGATTTGTTTCTTTATAATTCCTCAGGTTGCTTCCTATTTTTTATTCCATTACCCATTTAGTGTTTCATTTCTAATATTTGTCCTGTTAACTTAGTGAATATTGATGTTAAGCTTATTTTACTATCATGTCATAGCTTTCTATTATTCCATTTTTCTTCCTCATTTTGGGGGTCATTTATTCTACTTGTGTTTATTGATTTCCAGCTCTACCAGGCCTACTGCAAGGCAGTGGGCTACAGCTGTGACCTACATACCTACTGCAAGATCTGACCAGAGGCAGGAAGGCTAGTTAAGGTGCTGGTTTACCAGTATATTAGAGATGCTAGTGGTCTGAACTAAGGTAGCGACTAGAGATGGCTGGAAGATAAAAATTGATTAGATTGAGTGATTGATTGGATAGGGTGTGAGGCAGAGGGAAAGAATGGCAGATGACATCCAGCTTTCTAACTGGTTTGATGCTGGGACTACTCTCTGAGAACTTAAGAGGAGGTAAGGTGTGGAAGAGAGCACCAGCAAAATAGTAAGTTCTGTTGTTTACAGGTTTGTTTTGAAGTAGTTAGGTCAGAGATTCAGGAAAAGAAAGGGAGATAGAGGGCTAGAAAGTACAGTGTCATTGAGGGCTTCAAGCCTAAAAGTAGAGTTTAGTAATGATGTGGAACCTCTTTATTGAGTCTTCTACTGTGTTAGTCCATATGTAGACATGTGCATGTAGAGGTGTTTCTCTGATACATCAGGAAATATGATATGAATCCAAAAACCAAACCCACTGCTGTCAAGTTGATTCTGACTCATAGTGACCTTATAGGACAGAGTAGAACTGTCCTATAGGGTTTCCAAGGCTGTGAATCTTTATGTAAGCAACTACCACATCTTTTTCTCGTTGAGCAGCTGGTGGGTTCAGACCACCCACCTTTCGATTAACAGCATTGTGCTTTAGCCACTGTGCCACCAGAACTCCTCATAGTATTAATATAGCTCTCTTAATATATCTTTGAATAATATAGTGTTGTATTTCCCCCTCAATAATAGCATTTTAAAAGTATTTTACAAGAATAGCATTTTATGCTTTTCACCCAACTACAATAACCCCTTATTTACCCACCAGAAACTTACCTGGCAACTCTATCAGGGAAATAACCTTAAAAGATGAAAAAGATTTTTAAAATGTGTTTAAGGAGCCAACAGATCTTATGTTTAATAACAAGCATACTCAGGCAAGACCTTGTGTGGCATGCCTTCATGATCTTCTCACTTTGGGCGCACAGACACAAATGGCAATTTTCAGTTGGGATTAACCTAGTTTAAGTATGTATTGATGGTTCTCAAAGAAGTTGTTTAAATTAGAGCTTTTAAAACTAACATGAGTTATCATGAAAAGTAACTGAGCTCACTCTATATGTTTCTAACTATATTCATTTTACTGTTAACACAGAGCTAAAACTAGTAATTTGGCAGCTGGAACAAACAGAACAACTGAGGTGATATTGTTGGGTGGTGGCATTTTTGAGGGAGCAAAGATGAGGAAATGTGCTGCCTCCTACAACCCCCCACCCCCACCCCCACTATGCACACACAGACAAAGTAAACCTGCCTTGTAGTTCACTGACCTTTTCCTTAGATTATCAGCTGTGTCCAGGAGCAATGAACTCACTACTGAGCAAATGAGTATTTGAGGAAGAATTCCTGTAGGTGGGGAAGAAAACCAAAACCACACTCACTGCTGTCCAGTCAATTCGACTCATAGTGACCCCTCCTTGGGTGTCCGAGGCAGTATCTCTACAGAAGTAGATGGCCCAATCTTCCTTCCAAGGAGTGACTGGTTGGAGTGACTGCTAGCCTTCTGGTTTGCAGTCAAATGCCTTAGGCACTAGGCCACCAGAGCTCCCAGATGGGGAACAGGGCCTAGAAAATTGGTCTTGAGTGATCCTAAACACAGTTATCATACAACCTCAAAAAGTATCAATGAATTATGTACATTGTAGCTCCATTGCTAACTTTCAACCTTTCATTGAGGAGTAAGTAAGACCCCTCACATGGAATTGTTTCTGCTTGATTCCATGTGCCTTGTCCCACTCCAGTCTGACTGGCTGTCTGGCTATCTGGCTATCTGAATCCTTTGCACTTCCAAATGAGTTTTAGGATCAGCTTATCAATTTCTACAAAGAAGTCACCTGGAATGCTGGGGGAGTTTGCATTGACTCTGCAGATCAATTTGGCAAGTATTGCCATTTTAACAACAAATATGAGATACTTTTCCATTTATTTAGATCTTTAAAAAGAAATTTAAGGAGCCCTAGTGTCATAGTGGTTATGCACTTTGCTGTTAACCAAAAGGTTGGTGATTTTAACCACCAGCCACTTTGAGGGAGAAAGATGTGGCAGTTTTCTTAGGTGAAGATTATAGCCTTAGAAACCCTATAAGGAAGCTCATTCTGTGCTATGGGAGCTCTGGTAGCATAGTGGCTAAGGCACTTGACTGCTAACCAGAAGGCTGGCGGTTCAAACCCACCAGCCACTCCTCGGAAGGAAG